GGAGCGGGACCTCGATGCGCTGCATGGCGTGGGGTCCTCCCGTGCCCGGCAGCTGCGAGGTCGTCTTGCGGCTGGGAAGCGGCTCGTAGCGCCAGGGGACGCGCCGGGGGCTGAGGATGGAGCCGAGCCCCTGCGTTTCCGTGCCCTGCCACCCCAGGAACGCCAGCGCTTCGGCCAACGCCACCTTGGAAGCCCTTGGCAATGCCAGCGACCTCTTGGTCACCTCCTTCCTCAGCTGCATCCTGGCCACGATGTGCCTGGTTGGCGTGGTGGGCAACATCTACACGCTGGTGGTCATGAACATCTCCGCTAGGTTCACTGGCTCCATGTACGTTTATATCGTCAACTTAGCCCTGGCCGATCTCCTGTACTTATCCACCATCCCCTTCGTGGTCTGTACGTACTTCGTGAGGGACTGGTACTTCGGAGACCTGGGCTGCAGGATCCTCTTCAGCCTCGACCTCCTCACCATGCACGCCAGCATCTTCATCCTCACCATCATGAGCACCGAGAGGTACCTCGCCGTCGTCAGGCCCTTGGACACCCTGGGCAGATCGCGGGACTGCCGGCGGACCCTCACCTGCCTGGTGTGGCTGGTGTCCTTCATCCTCTCCCTGCCGACCATGATCCTCATCGACCTCCGCATCAGCCACCGCAACGGGGTGACCAAGCGCATGTGCCACCCCACGTGGCGGATGGAGACCTACAGGGTGTATCTCACCATCCTCTTCCACACCTGCATCCTCGCCCCGGGCCTCATCATCTGCTGCCTGTACATCAAGCTGGCTCGGACCTACTGGAGGTCTCAGGTGGCTTTTTCCAGCACCAAGGAAACGAGCAGATGTCCCAAGCAGAAAGTCCTCTATATGATCTTCAGCATCGTGCTCGCTTACTGGGCTTGTTTTGTACCCTTCTGGCTGTGGCAGCTGTTCAGCATCTACCGCTCGGAGCCGGGGCGCCTCGCCAGCAGCACAGTTGTCTACATCAACTTCCTGGTGACCTGCCTGGCCTACAGCAACAGCTGCATCAACCCCTTCCTTTACACCCTGCTCACCAAAAACTACCGGGAATACCTGCGCAACAGGCACCGCAACTTCTACAGGTTCACATCCTCCTTCCGCAAGAGGGGATCCAACCTGCAGTGCTCCTGGGGACGGTCCATGTCCTCTAGCAACCAGTACGACTACAGCTCGGAGGCCCTGGGCATGGCCACGCTGAAGGACAAGTGAGGAAGAGGAGGTGGTCTGGAGACATCAGGACCAGAAGTGCATCTGTCCAAGGTAGGACTCTGAAACCCCCTAGCCCAGCAGGGTCCTAAAAACTCGTTTCTGGGGGCCATTCTAGTTATAGTGCAATAAGCTGTGTGAGCCCAAGTACTGTAAAACGCATTTGAATTTCTGTCTGGCTCAGGGCTCTGCTCCTACGCGCTGGGGACAAATCCTTCCAGCGCTTTGGGTGCAGAAGATGAGGTGGACACTTTATTTTGCTCTTTGACAAACTCTGTCCAAGCCTTGCCGAGTTCTGCCAAGCTCCGGCTCTGCACCGGTTTCCCTGTATGATTTCTCAGTGCTGTCCTCAGGCAACAGTTGGGTCAGATCTGCAAGAGTCTGAAATTGTCCTGGTCTTACTGAATTTAGCTGCAGGCCTTGGTTTTGTCCTGTATATTACCGTTATCTGTTCATAGGGTGTGTGAAGAGACCTTTAAGCCCTTTTTCTATTTCCTGTTACATTACAGCATGCTACAGTTTGATCAAGCTTAAAGTCTCTGTTTTAAAATTCACTGTAGCAGCACTGCAAACTCCA